ACTGGTACTATTTTATTTTTTTGAGATGCCAGGAGCGTATTTGTCAACTCCGGATAAAAAAAATGATCGTCGAGATAAGGAAGTAAAGAATGCCATGGCAAGACGTTGCTCGCCTCTTAGGATGTACGCCCACAACAGTTTTGTTTGTTACGGCTAAATGAATGCGTCTGGAAATGTGCACAGATATAAGAAAAAGGACGACCGAGGATTACAACAAAGAATGAAGCCCGATTTCTGACGAAAAATTTCAAGAAGGATCCGAATTTTACGTAGAACGATGGAGTCATTCTTTTCAAGCAAACTTCAAACAAGAATATTTCCCGCTGGACCTTGCATCGACGCTTGCTTCAAGCAGCATTGCATACTAGAAGACCTGCTCGCAAGCCTATGATGACAGTCAAACACAGGAGGCAACGCCTTCAATTTGCTCGGACCTAATCAAATTGGACAATCAATGATTGGGCTCGAGTGATTTTCGTTGATGAAACAAAAGTTGATATTTTTCCTTCAAATCGAAATCACCTGATCCGACGTCCAGTCGGAAAGCGATATCAACTCAAGTACTTGTAACCTACAGTGAAAAGAGGCGCAGGATCAATTATGTGTTTCGGTAAGGATAGTTTTCTTTTTATGCAGTCCAACGTGATTTCTTTAGGTGCGATGTGTAGAAGTTCAACAGGTCCGCTTGTCCTCGTAAAGTCAACAATGGATTCCCGCCAATATATCGAGATATTGGACAGATGTCTACTTCCATTTGCGACTGCTTCGATGAATCCAGGATGGTTTCTTTATCAAGATAATTCGCCAGTACACAAAAGCAAATTTTTGATGGGCCGCGTTGTGACTCTCTCGAATGGAGGAAAAGCACATTTACCGGGATGATTTGGGATCAATCACGTTTCCTTGATCAAGGCTCCACGATTCTCACCGGATTTAAATGCTATCGAGAATTTATAGGCCTATTTGCGAGGAAAACGTCTCAATTCTAAAGTCGTGCTATGGTTTTACATCAGAAAAAATTCGGAAGACGATTGGACCTGAGATTCTTCATGAATTAATTAGATCGATGCCTACTTGTATTAAAGAAGTACTTTTGGCAAGAGGAAGGCCGAGAAAATATTGCTTATAGTTTAATTTCGTCTTGTGTTAAAAGACTTTTGCACCACGATTTTCAGGGGTGTTTTGACAATTATATTTTTTTCTCGATGAATAAGTTTTGTATAGCGACAGCGTTTGTGTAAATAAATTGTACATATATTTGTGTAACTAAAACTATTGACAGCTTAAAGAGCGCCATGAACTTTATCAGAGAAAATCGATGTAACTTTTTAGAAAATTGAGTGTTAAAAGACTTTTGCACATGACTGTATTTTTATTCAAAAAAAACAATTCTCATCGTTCTATTGGGTTGGGGAGAATGAGTCGGCGCCGAAAATCAAAAAAATGTCTAAAACTTCTATTCGACTTCGTCAAATAATATACGTTTGATATCAGTAGAATGGTTAAATAATTCTCTACAAAATGACATTTAAAAGAAAATTCAAACAGCGCCTCCGCTCAAGAAAAAGCCATTTTTTCACAAAAACTACAAACTGTGATCTAGAAAAAACCATTGGTGGGATCTTTCTGCAAATTTGGCAACTTAAGTAATTGAATGTGCTCTATCTTTTTATATAAATACCAAAGAAGGTTTATGTGAAAGAAACTGTTCAAATGATGAGTCGGACTCTTTGCCATTTTAACCAGCTGCGTTTGGAAGTTCATAAACTCCACGAAAGAAAAGCTTTGTGGAATCTCTCAAAAGTGATTTTGTAGAGAAATAGTGGATCCTTTTGATGAAACCAAACGTATGTTTAAAGAAGGCTTTATGTGTGCAAAAAGTCCCTTTAAAGTTTGGCGCCGACTCATTCTCCACAACCCAATAGTTTTTATGCAAATTTTATTGCTTAATACTCCTTATGAAGAGATTGGAGCCTCACTCAGAAAATTAAAATGTTATATGGAAATTGCTAAATTCAAATTTTTAAGTGGGGGCAGAGATAGCTCATAAGTACCGCTTTTACTTTTTTTTTCAAATAAAGCTTTGTAAAGCGAGAGATGCGCTCAAAGTTTAGTCTTTCAAAGCCCACTAAACCTCATCCAAACCACCAGATCATTCCTAAACTCACTCATAACTTAACCTCTGTTTATTTTCTAAATCGTGAACGATCTCATGAAATTATAAATGTAAAATAGGGTTCAAAAGTTTGGACAAACTCCTATTTGAGAAAGTAAAGCTCACCACATCGAAATAAGGCAAAAGAAAGTGTTTTCTGACAAAAAAATCCTGTAAACAAAGCGCACTATTGGGTTGCCCAGTTATGAATGCGCGTTTTTTACTATTCTATAAATTTCTCAAGATACCGAAATCAAGAAAAAGATATATATGAGTATTATTCGAAAGCTGAAGATCTCCTCTACATTTTGATATAAAAAGTTTTTGAATTTGTTCAGCTTTTGGGCAAATTGACACTGCACAGAAGAAGAGGTGGCCAAAAAATGGAAGGATGCCTTTGGATCAAGTTTTGGCTCCGCTCAAATTGAGTTAACCGTTTGATGTTTGGCTGATAGATATATCAATACAACTCTTTTTGAAATATAGCAATTTCAGAGCATCTTTACTTTTCTTTTCTTTTCTGGGCGGTTATTTTACACCATAAAACTTGAGGAATAGCTAAGCTGGAATGGGTTTTTTCGAAAACGACCTCTCCCTTTGTGCAGTCAAATTCCCAAAAAGTTGAATGAATTCAAAAACTTTTTTATTCCAAAATGTAGAGGAGATCTTCAGCTTTCGAATGATATATAACACTCATACACATCTATTCGATATCTTGAGAAATTTACAAAATAGTAAAAACGCGCATTCATAACTGGGCAACCCAATAGATGCAAAAAATTATCGAGAATTCAAAAACCGTAGTTATTTGAAATTTTCTCTGACTCAATTTTGAGTAAAATGTGCTTTTTTTTCAAATTCTCTATGTTGAATTGTATTTTACATTCATAATTTCATGAAATCTTTCAATTTTAGAAAATAAACAGACGTTAAGTTGTGAGCGAGTTTAGGAATGATCTGGTGGTTAGGATGAGGTTTAGTGGGCTATGAAAGACTCAATTGTTCTTCACAAGGTTCCAAAATGACTATATTCAAACAAAACTTTGGAAGAAATCAAAAAAACCCCGGCATTTTTGGGTCAAGCTTGTCGCGATGACTCATCACTTTTGAGAGCCCCGTGAAAAAGAATTCATTTTCGAATTTCAGATAACCAAATCCAAAAAATTTGAAACAAAACTCTTCAATGAATCGCACGAATTTTTACAAACAAAATGTTTAGTAATCTTTCGATTAACCACGAATTTATACGTATTAGATGAACACAAATCGGTTGAGGTGAAAAAAGTGAAATGTGGTCAACTGATAAGGGAAGCGTATAAAAAAGGAGGTGAAGCAATGAAAAACGACAAGAAGAATACAAAAGTTTCGCTGAGTCTCTTCGAAAAGACCAAAGGATGAACTCAATGGCAAAAATCGGCTTTGACAGGTTGGTGAAAGAATTTGCTGCAAGTTAAACAAAATAGGTACCCAGTTTGGCTGGATATTTCAGAAAGTCTCAAACGATCACGTCATCCCGATCTCCATCGCTTCCTTCTAACTGTCTCCGGCATCGATTCAGTTGATGACGAAAGTAAACACGAATTTGTGCAGGTGGCTTTTAAATCTTAATTCTATTCTCAATTTTATTCTTATATTAATACATTTATTCATTTATTTATACATTATTATCTTTTTTTTGATATTTAGTTTAACCAAAGTGCTAACACATTTTTGTAGTTCCAGGGCCTTCCTTTCACTGCAGCTCTTTTATACTTTCAGTCTGTTTCCATTTTTTGTAGATCTTTCAGAAAAGTGATACCAAGGTTCTTGGCAATGTCTCTTAGGCTTGAGTCTTGATTGAATGCTGCCACGACTTGTTCTTTGATCTCATCTGATAATTGGAATGTACATCTGATAGATTGGAGCGTAAAAAATTTGAGAATTAGAAAAAATAGTAAGTGGAAAAACTTTTGGACCCGTAAAAAAGCGATACTTATGTAAAAAGAGACCTATGGATGCGCAAATCGGCGCGAAGGTACAGTACAAAAGTCTTGCAACATCACTTTTTCAAAAAATCGATGAAATTTTTTTATAGGAAATGCCACCCGTTCGTAGGGCTTTTTGTTTTTAATTAGAATAATACATGTACACTTTATTTACAAAAACAAATTTGAAGTTCAGCGTAAAACAAAAAGTAAATGACAAAACTGCTAAAAATACCCTAAAAACTGGGTGCAAAAGTCTTGCAACATTCTATGTTTCTCATTTTTATTGTTTTCAAATTTATTAATTTACACTAATTTTTGTTTTTTCAGATGCCAAATTCTCCATTGACGACTCCCGAAAGAGAAAAAATCATGAAAGCAAGAAAAAGGAATATCTCGAGCCGTTGTCTCCGATCTCTTCAAATGCGATCCTTCGACCGTTTCTCGCATTGTTTCAAAAGCAAAAACAACTGGACTTATGCACCGAAGAAAGAAGAAAGGACGGCCAAGAAGAACAACAGCAAAAAGAGGATCGAATACTTGTGATGGCTTCCAAGAAGGATCCGAACATGACATCGACTGAGGGAGCTCAGCTGATCAAGGATGTTGCAAACAAGGATATCTCTCCGATGAACCGTTTCTCGACGATTGACTCAAGCAGAACTGTATAGCCGGAGGGCTGTACGAAAGCCTTTGATGACCGCTGGCCACAGGAAACAACGGCTTCTATTCGCCAGGACGTACCAAAGTTGGACAAAGCAGGATTGGGCCAACGTGATTTTGTCGATGAAACAAAAGTGGATATCTTTTCTCCAAAAGGCGACCACTTGATCAGACGACCCATTGGAAAGCGAATACTCCTTAAATATGTGCGACCTACAATGCGAGCTGGCGGAGGATCAATCATGTGTTTTGGTAAGCCTCATTTCTAATGCATGCATTAATTTGCCTTTCTCTAGGGGCGATGGCAAAAAATGTGGCAGGTCCACTCGTCCTCATCCAGTCAACCATGAATGCTCGCCAGTATATGGAAATACTAGAAGGATGTCTACTTCCATTTGCTCAGGATTACATGGCTCCTGGATGGTTTCTCTACCAGGACAATTCGCCGGTTCACAAGAACAAGCCCATGATGGGTCCCACGGTGAGTCTCTCAAATGGAGGAAAAGCCGATCTCCCTGGATGGTTTGCCCTTAATAATGTTTTGTTGGTCAATGTGCCCCCTATGTCGCCTGATTTAAACGTTATTGAGAATTTATGGGCTTACGTGAAGACAAAGTTACGAGGAAAAGACCTTCACACAAAAGTTGACTTATACGAAAAGTTGGGAGCTTAATTCGCCCAGCAATTCTTCACGAATTAGTCGACTCAATGCCTAAACGACTTAATGAAGTGATTTTGGCAAAAGGTGGACCGATTGAATATTAATTTTTGATGTTTTTGTATAATGTTGCAAGACTTTGCACCCAGTTTTTAGGGTATTTTTTAGTAGTTTTGTCATTTACTTTTTTGTTTTACGCTGAACTTCAAATTTGTTTTTGTAAATAAAGTGTACATGTATTATTCTAATTAAAAACAAAAAAGCCCTACGAACGGGTGGCATTTTCTATAAAAAAATTTCATCGATTTTCTTGAAAAAGTGATGTCGCAAGACTTTTGCTCGGTACTGTACGTTATCTGACAAAAAATTCTGTAAAAAATGCGTACTAGATGCAAAAAATCATGGAGAATTCAAAAATCGTCGTTATTTAAAATTTTGTCTGGCTCCATTTTGAGTAAAATGTGTTTTTTTCAAATTTTCTAAGGCTCTAAAATGGCCATATTCAAAAAAACCCCGGCGGTTTTGGATCAAACTTGTCTTTGAATCGGTGATGATGGAGAGTGGATCTGCGATTAAATTAGAGATATATCTGATCTTTTTTTTGCTAAAGAGCTTTTTCTTGTTTTAGATCAACGTCTTAGAGCAGTGCAACAAGGAAAAGCAACTTACTCATCTGCCGATCTTGTTCTGCGCGAAGAAACATGAGAAGTTGGCTTTTTTACATTGAAAGGTAAAGAATTGTTGTTTAGATACGTCTACATGGTGATGGAGCTTCTGGGAAAGAATTTGCGGGACTTTAAGGTAATTTTTTGTTTGGCTACGATTTAAATGCTTTTTTAGACTGCTTATACGAAGGACTTGCTTCCCGAGAGAGATTGGTCCCGAATTGGCCTTCAAATTTTACATGCTGTAAAGGTGCGATATATTTGTGACGTCCGACTTATTGTTTTTTTTCTAGTCCATGCACGATCGACGTTTCGTTCATCGGGATCTCAAGCCAGCCAACATCATATTTGGATACCAATCGAATATGGCCAAATTTCGCACGATTCATGTGTTGGACTTTGGATTAGCAAGGTAGCTATGAGAATAATTCGGAGTGGGTGTAAAACTGTTTATCTTTAAACTATTACACTGATTAAAGCTGTATTTTAGGGGCTACGCCTTCTACAAGGACGGACAATGGACGGCACGAAAGGCTCGATTAAGAATTGATTTTCGAGGAACATTCCGATGTGCGTCGCCTAATATGCACAGGGATGAGGTAAACTGGTGACAATTTTTGTGTTAAGCTTTTTTCTTAGGATCTTGGTCAGGGAAGGGGTCAGAAGATTTCTTTTTTTAATCAAAAGATCAAATCAATCTTCCTTTTTCTAGCACGAGTACAAACATCACAAAAAGCGTCTTCGCGAGGCACTCGATCCAAATTTGGTTGTTGCAGAGGATTCGGGTATGAGCGTTTTAATGTCTTAAATGGAATCATGAATAAACTTTAGATGAACGTTTTTGCAAGAATAAAGCATTCGAAGTTATCGATCCGGTAAGTAGTTTTTCAGTTGTTGATTCTAGTCGTTCTTTAGATTGCCATCGAAACTGTGGCTGCATGCCCGGCTGAACAATAATTTTTATGAAAGTTATGGTTCTAAAGTGTACTATTGCAGGTGCTGTTCACTTATCCACGACAGCGATGCTTTGGTGATTCGGAAGTAAATGGAGGTGAACAGTTGGTTTGATTGCTGTTGTGAATTTTGGTATTTAGATGGCTCTTTTACGCCAAAACCGCGCGGACTACTGATGGGAATCCTTTTAGGAGCGAGTGATCAGCGATCTTTCGAAGTAAGCGTCTCTCTTTTAACGGTGCTAAAGCATATTTTTTAGGAAACTGCTCGTGAAGAGGCATCGACGGGAATCTACTTGCCTACTTCTTTTGCGAATGCCTCGATTTGTCGCAAGAAGGCCGAGGTTGCTTTTAACTACCATATTATCTCACAACTTTTGTTTTAGCAAAAGAAAACACCGAGCACTCCACTATTAGCGCCCAAAGAGTTCAAGCAATGGTTTATGTTTGGTTTAAAACATAAGACACTGGTTTCTTTAGATGTGTCTCAGCTTAGCAAATTACTGGCCACTCGTAAAGAATCACACAAATTTTTCAAAGCAAAATTCCGAATCTTTCTCTGATATTCGTGTTAACTCGATTGATATTTTATTGCGTGTTGCCTCTTTTTTTGAACTTTTGTTTCATCTGTTTTTGATCAGAAAGAAGATTTTGTTAAAGTGACGGAAAGAGCTTTTAAACCGGATCAATTTGCGATCGTGAAGTAAATTATTGCAGTGCCTTTCTTTTAAAGATATTCAGCGCAAGGTCTGAGACTTGTCAAATTACATGCCTCAACCTTTGCGTATCTTTGTTAGCAAAGAAACAATAGCAGCAATTGTTGCTATCGCAATCGGGGGAGTGGGTGGAGCCTCGAAAAGTTTGCATTTATCCATGAAAATTGCGATAGCACCCAGCATTTTCTGCTCTAACAAAAAGATAAAAGATATTGTAGGGTACATGGTCAAAAATTTTCAATCAACGAAACTGAATATCTTTTTCAGAAAGAATATCCAGTCTTGATGACTGGATACGTCCATTTTAGACCCTTTTTCAGGCACTGCAGCGCATACTTACAGTAACTTTAAATTTCTTTCAAAGGCATAAATTTGCACTGCTAAATAAAATCAAATCAAATAAAAAACGAACTCAGTGAAAAACAAAATAATTTTTCTCGTAGCAAAAAATGAGTGCCTATGGGGAAATATGAAGACAATTTTTCGTACAATAACATGGCAATTTTTTTATTTGAACTTTCATTTTATAATATTTCAAAAACTTTTCAAAAAATTTACTTTTCTATCTTCTTATTTTTGTTTACTCTTCGCAGTGCAAATTTATGCTTTTGAAAGAAATTTAAATTTACTGTAAGTATTAATTGCGCTACAGAGCCTGAAAAAGGGTCTAAAATGGACGTATTCAGTCATCAAGACTGGAGGCTCTTTCTAAGAAAGATATTCAGTTTCGTTGATTGAGAAGTTTTGACCATGTATCCTACAATATCTTTTTATCTTTTGTTATAGTAGAAAATGCTGGGTGCTATCGCAATCAGGCGCAATCATGCTTCAATAGGTAATCGGGCACGATGAATCCAATAAAAATACTTACAGCACCTAATTTTCATCACCTAATTCAGCACCTAATGGGGAACTTTGAGGAAGGGGAAGGGGGAACTTTGAGATCATCACTTTTACGAAGTTATATGGAAGTGGCAGAATAATGATGAGAATTTGAGGTATGATGATATGTTAGCTTATTCTCATTTGTTGCTATTAAACAAAAGGTAGTAGGGTACTTGTGGAGTATCCGGGGGGGGTAAAATTTTATATACGTTATGCACGACCCCTTTTAAAGATATTCAGCCGCTTAAGTGGTTTGGTGGCAAATTCCCTTCAAATGTAAAGATATTCGATTTATTCCAGGTGATTACGTGATTCGAGGTGATACTCGATCAAAAACGTAACTTCTACAAAATTTTTTTATGTCATTATTAGAAATGTTGATAATATCCTAGTTGGCGGCAAACATTTTCACACTAAATTGATGAAATTCTATTTAAAACGCTAAAATTAACGCAAAATGATATAAGTTTAAAGGTTTAAGTTTAAGGGTTTAACAAAAAGGTAAACATTTGCCTCAAGGATTTCATTTTTAGTTACAAAGCCTATGGTAAATGTCGAATTTCACGGAAGTTGCGTTAATCTATTGATCCTTAGACCATTAATCAGATCAATGAGCAATATTTTCGTTCTTCTTTTAAACTCTGAAAGCGATAGGTGCAAAAGATTGATAAAAGTAGCAGAATGGTCAAAAAAGCTACGGTCAAAAAGTAAAAAAAAAGTATAAAAAAGTTAAAATTTTACCCCACCGGATCTTAAAATTTTACCCCCCGGATATTGAAAGACCCCCCCGGATACTCCACAAGTACCGGTAGTAGAAAAGTCGCGAAAACGTATGAAAATCAGGTGCTGAAACTATTTTAATTGGATTCAGCGTGCCGGATCACCTATAGATGTAAATTTTCATGGATAAATGCAAACTTTTCGAGGCTCCGCCCACTCCTGCCCCCAGATTGCGATACAACAAAAGCTGATATCGTTTCTTTGCTAACAAGAAGTCCTTTTAGATTATTTGGGTAAAGAGCAAATGGATCCGAAAAAAGAACCGATCAACGACGATGGAAGCAAAACCCCGAAAAAAGAACCGATCAACGACGATGGAAGCAAAACCCCGAAAAAAGAAATCGACGAAGTGGCTGACAGGTACGGTGATATACGGTGAACGCATTTTTCTTTGTAATACAAGTTTTTCGAAACATTTGCGTAATTCAAGCTAAATTTGCATATAAGATAAATGGGTGGAATTTGTTCTGAAAATCTCATTCATTCATATTCCTCTTTCGATCCGAACGGACGATGTCTCACCAAGCGGATACTTTTCAAGTTCAATACGATGTCGCTAATGGAGTCGAAGTATGGGTCAATCATCAGCACGTCATTGTCCGATTCGACAGACATGATCATTTCTTTGGCCACGCCGCACAAAATGCCGATCGAAATTACGCCGTCAAGTTCATCGCTAGGTCAAGATCTTTGATCGAGATCCGCAATCTGCGCAAAGTGGTTGGTTTTCCTATTGCTTTTTTGATATCGCTGTATATGTAAACCATAAAATTAGAGCGTATTACCTTTAAATGTAAGGTGACAAGGCCGAATTTTAAGCAAAGTGATTTCCCAGTTCTCTTGAAAGAGATAACCGAATATTTTCATTTTGTGCCTTTGTGGGATACTGTAGTGTATAGAAAAGTTTTATGCGCTCAAAAATTTGTCTCTCTTTTGGGGGTGGGACAAATGCGACCTTTTTTTTGCGCACCTGGACATTTGAGCACCTTTTGTTTGCTGGAAAAGGCCTTAGGCAAGGCCGTAGAGCTTCGAAAATATTTCCATATAAGGGAATCGTATGCGTAGATTCCGAATTTCGACAAATCAGTCCTCGCTGATACGTCAAATTTGGGCTAAAAGGCAAAAACTACGCAACTTAACGCTTTTCCGCAGTTTTTGCCTTTTATCCCAAATTTGACGTATCAGCGAGGACTGATTTGTCGAAATTCGGAATCTACGCATACGATTCCTTTATATGGAAATATTTTCGAAGCTCTACGGTCTTGCCTAAGGCCTTTTCCAGCAAAAAAAAGGTGCGCAAATGTCCAGGTGCGCAAAAAAAGGTCGCATTTGTCCCACCCCCCTCTCTTTTTGATATTTTTACAATCACTCACAGTCATTCACAGTTTACTTATAGTTTACTTATTTTTACACACAATCTGCCGGTAAAATCCGCGAAGTGGATTTTGCCGGCTGGACATATTATAAATAAATTTCAAAATGTTCTTAACCGTTTCTTTAGGCATATTTTGGCAATCAGCCCGTTCTTCATGGTGCAGTCACGGTTAAACTCACTTTCTCCGATGCAAACGCTTATACTGGTGTCGTGGTTGCTCTATCTGCTCAAAACTATACCCTTGTGTAAATATGTAACGCTATTTTCTTTCATGATTTGTGTTTTCCCGTTCGAGCCGAATAAATATGTTCCAATTTAAAGCCACAATGCAATTCAAGAGTAAGTGGGAAACTTTAATGTAAATTGATGTTTTTCAAATTGAATACTATCAAAATACTTACCTGATTGCAAAGAAACTTGACTTTCCCAGATATTTATGCACGCAATAAAATATCAATCGAGTTAACACGAATATCAGAGAAAGATTCGGAATTGTGCTTTGAAAAATTTGTGTGATTCTTTACGAGTGGCCAGTAATTTGCTAAGCTGAGACACATCTAAAGAAACCAGTGTCTTATGTTTTAAACCAAACATAAACCATTGCTTGAACTCTTTGGGCGCTAATAGTGGAGTGCTCGGTGTTTTCTTTTTGCTAAAACAAAAGTTGTGAGATAATATGGTAGTTAAAAGCAACCTCGGGCTTCTTGCGACAAATCGAGGCATTCGCAAAAGAAGTAGGCAAGTAGATTCCCGTCGATGCCTCTTCACGAGCAGTTTCCTAAAAAATATGCTTTAGTACCGTTAAAAGAGAGATGCTTACTTCGAAAGATCGCTGATCGCGACTCGCTCCTAAAAAGATTCCCATCAGTAGTCCGCGCAGTTTTGGCGTAAAAGAGCCATCTAAATACCAAAATTCACAACAGCAATCAAACCAACTCCATTTACTTCCGAATCACCAAAGCATCGCTGTCGTGGATAAGTGAACAGCACCTGCAATAGTACACTTTAGAACCATAACTTTCATAAAAATTATTGTTCAGCCGGGCATGCAGCCACAGTTTCGATGGCAATCTAAAGAACGACTAGAATCAACAACTGAAAAACTACTTACCGGATCGATAACTTCGAATGCTTTATTCTTGCAAAAACGTTCATCTAAAGTTTATTCATGATTCCATTTAAGACATTAAAACGCTCATACCCGAATCCTCTGCAACAACCAAATTTGGATCGAGTGCCAGACTCTTCCTGTGTCTCTGCAAACACTTGCAAAACATGTCTTATCGAAAGTCGAAAGTCGAAAGAAAGGTTGACTATTTACAATAATTATTTACTTTGGTTGCAACAAAGTGAACCAATAATTACGATTTGGAATCGAACCGAACCGAGTCGGTTACCATGTCTACTACCTACATTAGAAATTCTACTTTTAATTTTTAATAAAAGTCAAAAAGCAAATAACTAATGGCTTGAGATTAAGGCTAAACTTTATGCATTCACTATTGAAAAAAGCAGGCTAAATCAATGAGTCTGCTTAGAAATGGCACAATTCGATAATTGATAACTTTTAACCCATGGAAGGATATCATTAATCGCTCAGTTTAGTTTTCCAATCTTTCAATAAAAACATACAGCGATTTGCGGTGTTTTGGTACATCCTGAACGAGGGTTATGCCCTTTGATGGTGCTGCCGGCTGAGATAGATGTTGACGATATTGAATTGACGATAATTTAATCGCAGATCCACTCTCCATCATCACCGATTCAAAGACAAGTTTGATCCAAAACCGCCGGGGTTTTTTTGAATATGGCCATTTTAGAGCCTTAGAAAATTTGAAAAAAACACATTTTACTCAAAATGGAGCCAGACAAAATTTCAAATAACGACGATTTTTGAATTCTCCATGATTTTTTTGCATCTAGTACGCATTTTTTACAGAATTTTTTGTCAGATAACGTACAGTACCGAGCAAAAGTCTTGCGACATCACTTTTTCAAGAAAATCGATGAAATTTTTTTATAGAAAATGCCACCCGTTCGTAGGGCTTTTTTGTTTTTAATTAGAATAATACATGTACACTTTATTTACAAAAACAAATTTGAAGTTCAGCGTAAAACAAAAAAAGTAAATGACAAAACTACTAAAAAATACCCTAAAAACTGGGTGCAAAAGTCTTGCAACATTATACAAAAACATCAAAAATTAATATTCAATCGGTCCACCTTTTGCCAAAATCACTTCATTAAGTCGTTTAGGCATTGAGTCGACTAATTCGTGAAGAATTGCTGGGCGAATTAAGCTCCGAACTTTTCGTATAAGTCAACTTTTGTGTGAAGGTCTTTTCCTCGTAACTTTGTCTTCACGTAAGCCCATAAATTCTCAATAACGTTTAAATCAGGCGACATAGGGGGGCACATTGACCAACAAAACATTATTAAGGGCAAACCATCCAGGGAGATCGGCTTTTCCTCCATTTGAGAGACTCACCGTGGGACCCATCATGGGCTTGTTCTTGTGAACCGGCGAATTGTCCTGGTAGAGAAACCATCCAGGAGCCATGTAATCCTGAGCAAATGGAAGTAGACATCCTTCTAGTATTTCCATATACTGGCGAGCATTCATGGTTGACTGGATGAGGACGAGTGGACCTGCCACATTTTTTGCCATCGCCCCTAGAGAAAGGCAAATTAATGCATGCATTAGAAATGAGGCTTACCAAAACACATGATTGATCCTCCGCCAGCTCGCATTGTAGGTCGCACATATTTAAGGAGTATTCGCTTTCCAATGGGTCGTCTGATCAAGTGGTCGCCTTTTGGAGAAAAGATATCCACTTTTGTTTCATCGACAAAAATCACGTTGGCCCAATCCTGCTTTGTCCAACTTTGGTACGTCCTGGCGAATAGAAGCCGTTGTTTCCTGTGGCCAGCGGTCATCAAAGGCTTTCGTACAGCCCTCCGGCTATACAGTTCTGCTTGAGTCAATCGTCGAGAAACGGTTCATCGAGAGATATCCTTGTTTGCAACATCCTTGATCAGCTGAGCTCCCTCAGTCGATGTCATGTTCGGATCCTTCTTGGAAGCCATCACAAGTATTCGATCCTCTTTTGCTGTTGTTCTTCTTGGCCGTCCTTTCTTCTTTCTTCGGTGCATAAGTCCAGTTGTTTTTGCTTTTGAAACAATGCGAGAAACGGTCGAAGGATCGCATTTGAAGAGATCGGAGACAACGGCTCGAGATATTCCTTTTTTTCTTGCTTTCATGATTTTTTTCTCTTTCGGGAGTCGTCAAGTGAGAATTTGGCATCTGAAAAAAACAAAAATTAGTGTAAATTAATAAATTTGAAAACAATAAAAATGAGAAACATAGAATGTTGCAAGACTTTTGCACCCAGTTTTTAGGGTATTTTTTAGCAGTTTTGTCATTTACTTTTTTGTTTTACGCTGAACTTCAAATTTGTTTTTGTAAATAAAGTGTACATGTATTATTCTAATTAAAAACAAAAAAGCCCTACGAACGGGTGGCATTTTCTATAAAAAATTTCATCGATTTTTTTGAAAAAGTGATGTTGCAAGACTTTTGCTCGGTACTGTAATTTCGCGCCGATTTGCGCATCCATAGGTCTCTTTTTCATAAGTATCGCTTTTTTACGGGTCCAAAAGTTTTCCCGCCTACTATTTTTTCTAATTCTCAAATTTTTTACGTTCCAATCTATCAGATGTACGTTCCAATTATCAGATGAGATCAAAGAACAAGTCGTGGCAGCATTCAATCAAGGCTCAAGCTTGAGAGAAATTGCCAAGAGCTTTGGTATCACTTTTTCTGAAAGATCTACAAAAAATGGAAACAGACTGAAAGTGTAAAGAGAGCTGCAGTGAAAGGAAGGCCCTGGAAACTTACAAAAATGTGTTAGCACTTTGGTTAAACTAAATATCAAAAAAGATAATAATGTATAAATAAATGAATAAATGTATTAAGATAAGAATAAAATTAAGAATAGAATTAAGATTTAAAAGCCACCTGCACAAATTCGTGTTTACTTTCGTCATCAACTGAATCGATGCTGGAGACAGTTAGAAGGAAACGATGGAGATCGGGATGACGGATCGTTTGATACCTGAAAATATCTATAAGCTAAACTAAATATAAAAAAAAATTGCAAGAAATCTGAGGTTATTGATCGAGTCAAACATCACGATGAAACAATGAATGGCATTTTCCCGGAAAAAGCGGAAAAAAGTTTACCAACACATTGCTATTGTTCCCCGAATTGGGTCTGTTTATTTAGATGTCATTGCTCGCTGATACATAAAAGAATGGAGAAATATATAAAGATCTGGAAATTTTTTTGAAATATTCACATTTAGCCGAGCATTTTTTGATCATGTCTGCATTGCTTCAATCAGTAATCATTCTCGTTTTGGCTCAGACAGTCCAATCGACGACTTGTCGCAATAAGACGGCTTACACTGGACGTAAGTGATGTATTGAATGAATTCTTTTTAAAATTCATTTAACTAATATCAATTTAGTGATCCGTCTTTGTCTTTGAGATGAATAAAACCCATTCTTGAAAGAAATTCTTTTGTCAAACGATACGAATGTTGCATTTTAGCCTGTTTTGCTGACGGTGATCACTGTGAGCCAACAGGTGTTTGTGCCACTTCATCGCTCGGTCTACAATGTTGTCCAATTGATTATGTTGATTTGACAATGCCTAAAGGTAGAGAAAAAACTTGAGGCTCAAATTTGACTAAGTTTTTATAACATAAACTAACTGTATTACCTATTTATTGAGACTTTATGAGAGGTTACTAGGTTTAAAGCTCATTTTGTACAAGTTTAATGCTAAAAAGGAAACCCCACTTATCAATATGTTCAACTTTAACAACTCTAAGTTACTTTCTTTTTGAAAATTATTGCCTTTTGCACTGTTGCATGCCTAGAAAAACCTGTAGAACGCCTGTGGAAAGAGATCGGATAAATTGAGTTTGTCACAAGCTTTCTTGGACTTTCTTGGAAGTTTTCTTAAAAGAATCAAGACTGAAATGTGATTCTAACATTTTTAATGTCTTGTAGATTCGAGAACTGTTAAATAGTGAAGAGTTTCTCATCTTTAAACAAGAATAACTGGGGTTTCACTTCTTTTTGGTGAAATTTGGTGATCGGATTTCGAATCGAATATCAAATTTAGTAAACTGCAAAAATAATCTAGAAAGTTTTGTTTGTTTGTTTGTTTGTTTGTTTATTCCAACTCCTATACAGTGCTTTTTTGACGATATTTTTTTCATAAACCAATGTTGAGAGCGCTAAACGAGCTACGAGCTTAAGAAGTTCTCATAGATATTGCCTGTGTTGTGGAAGAGGATTATTCAAAGTTAAAGCCGTCTGATAAACTAGTTTTTATGTGAAAAACTAGTTATTATTTGAACTAGAAAGTTAAATTTAACTAGATTTTACTAGATTTTACTTTACTTGGACACAAATTTGGAGTCACTGTGAACTGTCTGCTACATAGAAACATATCGACGTGTACATGAATATCTTAGGATAGAATCAATATCTTGCCTAATGTCAGCTTTTGCTGTTAAATCAAGTTTCCAATTGATCAAAATTGACACTTTTCGAGGCAAATTGGACTGAAACTTTGTAAACCAATGGTTTTCGAGGCTGGAGAATCCAAATTCAACATCAGCCTTTCAAAAAAACTCATAAGAAATACCAGATTTTGAGTTCTCACTTCAAATTCCAATGAAATTTGCATTGATTCCATTAGAATTTAGTTTAGTTTTCGTTTTTTACATCTATTTTTCCATAAACCAATTTTGAGAGCGCTAAACGAGCTGCGAGCTTAAGAAGTTCTCATAGATATTGGCTGTAATGTGGAAGAGAATTATTCGAAGTTAAAGCCGTCAGATAAACTAGTTTTCATGTGAAAAACCAGTTATGATTTGAACTAGAAAGTTAAATTTAACTAGACTTTACTAGATTTTACTAGATTTTACTAGATTTTACTTTAAAAGCTTAACTGAAAAAAATCGTTTTAGAAGAATTGATCACTTGTTCGAATCTGAAAGCTTGCACTGGGCGTGAGTCACTTTTTTAAGAGCAAAATTTTAATTAAAACATTAATAACTTTGCTGAGCTGAATATCAAAACAAAAAATATCTTTTAAATCCAATTTGTTTTCATTTAAGCCTGTTTTGGAATGGGTGATGAATGCGAGCCAAAAGGTCGTTGTGCCGCGACAGACAGCGGTCTTCAATGTTGTCCAATGGCCCATGTTGTGTCTAGTTACAATTCGGGTAAGTTATTACGAAGATCCTAAAGTACTAAAAGATTTTAAAACTATAATTAGTAACAATAGTAACAATAGTAACAAGGGTTTGTTCTTAGAATGAAATCAAGTCAAGAGCATTAAAGCCTAATCGCCTAAAACTTTACTTTTAGACGGCTCGCAATCTGCCCAAGTTGGATCGTGCAAGAGGTTGAACAATCTTTCCAAATAACATTAAAATCGTTTAGACGCGATTATGTGACTTTGATGAATCGGAATACAGCTGACAATTGCACTAAGAAGAAATCGAGTAAGTTCAGGTTTAAATCTACGATACAGGCTGGCGTACAATTATCGAAGCTCGGTTTTTTTCGACTGTAACTCAATTCCCTATTATTCAATTCTTCCAATTTTATATTTCTATGAAATTACAGGTTAATTTGCAACTTTGCATATTAACATATTGACATATTAACTTTGCAAGATAGCAAATCAGAAATGATCGCTGCTCTGCTCACCTTTCAGGGAATTCAACTATTAGCTCTCCAATTTTGAAATTATTGAAAATCTTCTGATGTTTAATGCTCTAGATAATACTATTTCTTAATAAAAAACAAAAATAAGTAAAAAAGAAGCGGAGAAATTCTTCAAAATATGTGCAAATGCTGTCAAACAACGATTCTGTCGAGAAGTTGGGACTGCTGAACTTCAAAGTACTATAAAAAAGCGTAACACGGTGTTTCTGAAATAAAAATTGAAATTGGCCGTAGAAATTAACTTGAAATTTCATAGAAATATAAAATTTGGGGAATTGAATGATTGGGAATTGATTTACAGTCGAAAAACCCGAGTTTCCACAATTGTGCGCCAAAAGAGCAACGTCTTTTTGTCTGTACTGGCATTTTCTTGGCCATGTTTTGACCAATAAAGCTCAAACTTCTTTAGAAAACTCCAGACTATATTGTAGTTGTGCTATTTAAAATAAAAAAATAAAAAAGACAACTTGAGTGGCACTACGGGGGGTCGTGTGGGTCGTAGACAAGCGCGCTCCCGACCGCTCCACGGCGACGCTAGCCCCTAACATTTATTGGCTTTTTTGCCTACAAAAAGCAAAGCTTTTGATGATTGTAGGGATAATTAAAAGAAGGACATCTTTAGACAATTTGAATCATTTCTTGTCTTCAGATGAAGAAACTCCATCAACTTTCTCCGATTTATCATCCATCTCCTACTTGGACACAAATTTGGAGTCACTGTGAACTGGCTGCAAAGAAACATTGACGTGTACATGAATGTCTTAGGATAGAATAAATATCTTGCCTAATGTCAGCTTTTGCTGTTAAATCAAGTTTCCAATTGGTCAAAATTGGTACTTTTCGAGGCAAATTGGACAGAAAATTTGTAAACCAATGGTTTTCGAGGCCGGGGAATCCAAATTCAACATCAACTTTTCAAAAAAGACTCATAAGAAATCCATAGAAAAACATAAGAAATGAATTTTCAATTTCCAGAATATTATCCATATATATTGCTTGAACAGTTGCCGAAGATGATGTGTGAAAGTCAAGTTTCTTTGCAAACAGGTAAATATTTTGATAGTATTCAATTTGAAAAACATAAATTTACATTAAAGTTTCCCATTTACTCTTGAATTGCATTGTGGCTTTAAATTTGAATATATCTATTGAGCTCGAACGGGAAAACACACAAATCATGAAACAAAATAGCGTTACATATTTACGGCGGTATATTTTTGAGTATATAAGGCATTCGTGACACTAGCAAGAGCGAGCCCATCGGAGAAGGTGAGTCTAACCGTGAATGCACCGTGAAGAGACAACTGACCGCCAATTGTAGACGTCTAAAAAGACAGTTAAGAACATTTTGAAATTTATAATATGCCCAGCCGGCAAAATCCACTTCGCGGATTTTACCGGCTGATTGTGTGTAAAAATAAGTAAACTATAAGTAAACTGTGAATGACTGTGAGTAATTGTAAAAATATCAAAAATAGAGACAGATTTTATGGTTTACATATACAGTGATATCAAAAAAAGCAATAGGAAAACCAACCACTTTGCGCAGATTGCGGATCTCGATCAAAGAGGAGCGCCTAGGGAATAGCTGGACGGCGTAATTTCGATCGGCATTTTGTGCGGCGTGGCCAAAGAAATGATCATGTCCATCGACTCGGACAACGACGTGCAGATGATCGACCCATACTTGGACCGCATTAGCGACCTCGTATTGAACGCGAAGTGTATTAGCTTGGTGGAACATTGCCGGTTCGGATCGAAATAGGAATATATATGAATGAGATTTTCAGAACAAATTTCACTCATTTATCTTATATGTAAATTTAGCTTGAATAATGCAGATGTTTCGAAAAGCTTGTATTACAAAGAGAACTTGAAAACACCGTACCTGTTGGCCTCTTCGTCGATTTCTTTTTTCGGGGTTTTGCTTCCATCGTCGTTGATCGGTTCTTTTTTCGGATCCATTTGCTCTTTACCAAAATAATCTAAAAGGACTTCTTTTTTAGCAAAGAAACAATATCAGCATTTGGTGCCATCGCAACCAGGGCGGGAGTGGGCGGGGCCTCGAAAATTTTGCATTTATCCATGAAAATTTGCATCTATAGGTCATCCGGCACGCTGGATCCAATTAAAATAGTTTCAGCACCTGATTTTCATACGTTTTCGCTACTTTTGTACTAACTAATTTGTTGCTATTTAATAGCAACAAGAGCAACAAATGAAAATAAGCTAACATATCAATAAAGTGGATAGCGCTTACAAGGGAACATCCAGAAAATAAGGTGAGGAATTTTGACGAAACTTTGGGACAAACACAAGTCGACCACGCTGCACATAGGTTACAAAAATAATCGTCTTTAAATCAAAAATCCGAACACTACAAATTTTAAGTTAGGCCCAAAAATGAACGGAAAAAATAAAATAATCCGAAACCGTCTATCCAAAATTTCAGAATTAAAGGCGGCGACTTTGATGTTAGTGAAATTTCATATTTCATCGAACCATAAAGTGTTATATGTCATTCAATAGCTCTTTTCACGCTCTTTCAGAATACTGAATTGGGTTTTTGTGGAATTCTATTTTTCCAGGAAATTTTTTTCCATATTCGGCGCCGAAAAGTCAAAATAATTTTTTTCACGAAAATCTAGCTGAAAAACTAGGCTCAAAAAGCAAATTTCTGAATTCTACGCAAAAAGTTGGTTGGGAATTGTTTTTTAATTTTGTGTTTTGGTCAATGGAAACGCGAGCTCTGAAACCTAGGTTTTTTAGAAGTGCGCGGTTATATGGCCCACGCGCACCTTTGATGTTGGTAAAATTTTTCTTTTGTGTCAAATCATCAAGTGTTATATATCATTCGAAAGCATTTTTATGCGTTTAAACATGGCGGAAAGAATATACCAAAAACTTTGACTTTTTATTAGTTTTCTCCGATTTTATAATCTGGAATGCAGTTTTTTTCTGGTTCTGCGGTACTTGCAGATCTGGTATAGTCTAGAAAAAATTTATTCTAAAAAAGTGAAGAACGCAATTTTTTTTTGAAGAAAGAGTTACAATTCCAGGAAAGTTGAAATTTGAGAGTATTTGTCAATCTCGGGTAGGCAACCCAGGTGCCCAGACAAATACAGACTGCCTTGACAATTACTCGATAAATTACTATGCCAAAGGCATGACAGATGATAAAGTTATAAATGTTTCGAGGCCCCGCCCACTCCAGCCCTGATTGCGATAGCACCAAATGCTGATATTGTTTCTTTGCTAACAAGAAGTCCTTTTAGATTATTTGGGTAAAGAGCAAATGGATCCGAAAAAAGAACCGATCAACGACGATGGAAGCAAAACCCCGAAAAAAAGAAATCGACGAAGAGGCCAACAGGTACGGTGTTTTCAAGTTCTCTTTGTAATACAAGCTTTTCGAAACATCTGCATAATTCAAGCTAAATTTACATATAAGGTAAATGAGTGGAATTTGTTCTGAAAATCTCATTCATTCATATTCCTCTTTCGATCCGAACGGACGATGTCTCACCAAGCGGATACTTTTCAAGTTCAATACGATGTCGCTAATGGAGTCGAAGTATGGGTCAATCATCAGCACGTCGTTGTCCGAGTCCAAGGACATGATCATTACTTCGGCCACGCCGCACAAAATACCGATCGAAATTACGCCGTCAAGTTATGCCCTGGGCGCTCCTCTTTGATAGAGATTCGCAATCTGCGCAAAGTGGTTGGTTTTCCTATTGCTTTTTTTGATATCACTTGTATATGTAAACCATAAAATTAGAGCGTATTACCTTTAAATTTAAGGTGACAAGGCCGAATTTTAAGCAAAGTGATTTCCCAGTTCTCTTGAAAGAGATAACTGAATGTTTTCATTTTGTTTTCACTTTGTGGGATACTGTAGTATATAGAAAAGTTTTATGCGCTCAAAAATTTGTCTCTATTTTTGATATTTTTACAATCACTCACAGTCATTCACGGTTTACTTATGGTTTACTTATTTTTACACACAATCAGCCGGTAGAATCGGCGAAGTGGATTTTACCGGCTGGACATATTATAAATTTCAAAATTTTCTTAACTGTTTCTTTAGACGTCTACAACTGGCGGTCAGTTGTCTCTTCATGGTGCATTCACGGTTAAACTCACTTTCTCCGATGGGAACGCTCATACTGGTGTCGTGGTTGCTCTATCTGCTCAAAACTATACCCTTGTGTAAATATGTAACGTTATTTTCTTTCATGATTTGTGTTTTCCCGTTCGAGCTCAATAAATATATTCAAATTTAAAGCCACAATGCAATTCAAGAGTAAATGGGAAACTTTAATGTAAATTGATGTTTTTCAAATTGAATACTATCAAAATATTTACCTGATTGCAAAGAAACTTGACTTTCTTCAGCAACAGCAAGAGCAACTGTAAAATAGAGCGTCACACCCTAATTTAACGCCACCTTCTAATAGAACGTCAGTCTGGAGCGGAGAATAGAACACCATGGCGTTCAAATAGAGTATTTACCATAAGTATCTTATCTTTTTTGACGCAATCAACCATTTTGTGGCAGTAAGTTTACCTAAAGTTTACCTAAAAACCTGATCAAAACTTTCATAGAACTTTTGTGCTTGATCTTTCCATCAAAATAGTTGCAAGGAATTTCCAGATAATCACTTGTAAGTTCCAAATTTTCATAACTAATCCTTTTTCCTCATTTTTCCAAGGGGTTAAATATTTTATGACTCATCACTTTTGAGAGTCCCGTGAAAAAGAATTCATTTTCGAATTTCAGATAACCAAATCCAAAAAATTTGGAACAAAACTCTTCAGTGGATCCCTCGAATTTCTACAAACAAAATGTTTAGTAATCTTTCGATTAACCACGAATTTATACGTATTAGATGAACACAAATTGTTTGAGGTGAAAAAAGTGAAATGTGGTCAACTGATAAGGGAAGCGTATAAAAAAGGAGGTGAAACAATGAAAAAAACGACAAGAAGAATACAAAAGTTTCGCTGAGTCTCTTCGGAAAGACCAAAGGATGAACTCAATGGCAAAAATCGGCTTTGACAGGTTGGTGAAAGAATTTGCTGCAAGTTAAACAAAATAGGTACCCAGTTTGGCCATGAACATAGGGTTAGGCAAAACCGTCTTTGCCAAAATTGAAAGCTCAGTGTCTTGACCAAAACCCCAATGATCCTAACTTTCAAACGAATTTTTAAACTTTCAGAACCTTGAACTCTTTGCAAGACCCGAACGACCCGTTCGACGTGACTATCGATGAGAAGTGGATGGATTGATGTTTAGCCCAACCCCAAAAATTTTCCGAATCTCCGTATCCAGATCTGATTTTTTCTATGAATCTTTTGCTAGCTGTACTGTGAATGAAATAAAAGAAAAAGCAGAAGAAACGACAATATCATTTGCACGAATTGTTTATTGAAGCATTCGTTTAAAAATTGCTCATTCTAAGCGGCTCGGTGTTTCACTTCATTGCTTCTGCGTACCCTAAACAAAAAAGCCATAATAGAACTCTAATAGAAAAGCGTAACACTGTGTTTCGGAGCTAAAAATTGAAGTTGATCGCCGAGAAGTAACTAGAAATTTTATAGAAATATGTAAATAGGTGAATTGAATGATTGGGAATTGATTTACCGTTGGAAAAAGCCGAGTTTCGATAATTGTGCACCAAAAGAGCAACGTCTGTTTGTCTGTACTGGCATTTTCTCGGCTATGTTCTGACTAATAAAGCTAAAACTTCTTTAGAAAACTTTAGACTATATTGTAATTGTGCTATTTAAAAGAAAGAATAAAAAGTCAACTTGAGTGGCACTACGGGGGGTCGAACTCGGGTCGCGCGGGCCGTAGACAAGCGTGCTCCCGAACGCTCCACGGCGACGCCAGCCCCTAACATTTATCGGCTACAAAAAGCGAAGCTTTTGATGATTGTAGGGATAATTATAAGAATAATCTGTAGGACATCTTATTAGGTTGTCCCATAAAAATTGATTGAAAAATTGATTCGTATTCAGGGACAAACTAACACTTTCTCTTTCTGTTTTTTTTATTGTGCTGCTTTACAATTCTAGTTTTAGGTGCTAAATTTTTTTTTAGAAACCAAAAATAGAAAAAGTTGTGATCGAGCAAATGGCGCCGTCTCGTGAAGAAATCCATCAACACCTGTATCAACGATATTTTATCAACGGCGGCCAAAGCAACGAGAGAAATCAGTTCTTTTTATCGAGCAACACTCGTCAAGGAAAGGACTGCACGATGTTGTTTTCAGAAGTTCCGGAAAGGTGACACCCGGCTCACACGAAAGCGAGGAAGCGGTCGTCCCAGAAAAGTGAATCGACAGACGTTGAGACGCCGACTTCGGCAGAATCCCGAAGGATCGACTCGGATTTTAGCACAAGAATATTGCGGAAGAATGACAGTATGGCGTTGGCCCAAAAAACCGGAAGAAAGTGGCTGAAACAGCGGCAAATTCCCTATCAACTAAACAATTCGATTAAGGGCCGAAAGAGCATGGTCATGCCGTCAACTACCAAACGAATATCGATGCGGGGACTTCCTCTTCCTAATATAGTGACGCATGATCAATCGGGGGTATTCTATGATGGTCGAGTGTTGAAACGACAATGGTTGAAGAAAGGTCGATTGGGAAAAGTGGTGCCAAAACGAAATATTCATGGGAATAAGCGACTTCTGTGTGTCTATTGGCGTTGCTCTGACATACTTTTTTGGGAGCTCCTCCAGAAGGGTCAAACTTTTAACAGTGATGTTTATAGACGCCGTATGCAACAAGTTGAGCAGAAAATTCTCCGATTGCTCTATGAGAATGAATGGAATGATCCCGTTTTTGTGCTTGAAGACAACGCTCCTTCCCACAAATCGAGCAAATCGAAGAATTTTATGGAAAACAATTTGCGCTGGAATGTACTTTCACATTCCGCTTATAGCCCTGATATTACTCCTTTGATTATTACTTATTTTGTCTGCTAAAGGATTTCCTTCGAGGCAAGCAATTCAACAAGCAAGGTGGCCTCGAGGACGAGACTACTTTCTTTCAGGAGGACCACTTTCTTTCACGCCAACCCGATTTTTACAAGCGAGGACTTGAAAAGTTACCAAAACGTTGGTTAAAGGTCTATAATAACCATGGAAAATATATTGTAAGCTCTTCGTTGTTACTTTTTATTTTATGTTGAAAATAGAAATTTTTGAGAAACGGCAATTTTTTATTGGACAACCTAATAAGACAATTTGAATCATTTCTTGTCTTCAGATGAAGAAACTCCATCAACTTTCTCCGATTTATCATCCATCACCTACTTGGACACAAATTTGGAGTCACTGTGAAATGTCTGCTACAAAGAAACATCGACGTATCCTTGAATATCTTAGGATAGAATAAATATCTTGCCTAATGTCAGCTTTTGCTGTTAAATCAAGTTTCCAATTGGTCAAAATTGGTACTTTTTGAGGCCAATTGGAATGAAAATTTGTAAACCAATGGTTTTCGAGCCGGGGGGATCCAAATTCAACATCAGCCTTTCAAAAAAACTCATAAGAAATACCAGATTTTGAGTTCTCACTTCAAATTCCAATGAAATTTGCATTGATTTCTTTAGAATTTAGTTTAGTTTTCGTTTTTTTACATCTATTTTTTCCATAAACCAATTTTGAGAGCGCTAAACGAGCTGCGAGCTTAAGAAGTTCTCATAGATATTGCCTGTAATGTGGAAGAGAATTATTCAAAGTTAAAGCCATCTAATAAACTAGTTTTCATGTGAAAAACTAGTTATTATTATTATTATTATTATTTGAACTATTTGAATTACTTGAATCTAACTTTTGCAAGCACAATTCAAAAAAAGTAAGCACAATTCAAAATTGATTCTTTATTTAACATTTATTCTATGATCTTAAAGAATAAAAAGAAAATTTGCACTTTTGAAACTCAATTGATCAAAAAATCGATATTATCAAAACGAGAAACAAAATGAAAGCAAAATTTGGATAGAAAACCAAAAAAAGTTCCGAAATTTTAGTTTAAAAGTTTACTGTGGATGATTTCCCGTATGCAAATACCACTAATTAAAAGCTTTTTAAAAGAAATTCCCGGAATAATGAAGGCAAATGCGAAATTGCGGAAAAAGAAACAAAAAAAACAAGTTGTGGTTCTTGCTTAAAAACCGAACATCTTTCCCCGGAAAATATTCGTCAACTCGTCGACGAGAGCCTCGTGACGGAAAGAGACACGAATATCGGGCACATTTGTGCGATGAATGTCATTTCCCAGCACTCCTTCCTCTTTAGAATTCGCGCCCAAGCCAATGGATTTTCACCTGAAAAATGAGTATTGAAATTCATTTAAAAGACAAGTTGATTGCTTTTTTTTCAGATTCACTTTCAGATTCACTTTCAGATTCACTTTCACATTGGCTTTACTGTAAATTGAGTACTGATGCAATTTGTGCTCAAAGTTCTCAAATTTGAGTGCGAGAAGTTAGTTTGGCTCTTTCCTGTCTCTTTCCGAGCCTCTCTAATAGTCGATTTAGACGAGTTAAACCCGTGTTCCGATTGATAGCCTCAATAAAATGAATAGCGCCAATTGATTCCTAGACACTGAAAACCCCTGGGTACAAATTTAAGCTCAATATCTTCTTTTTATGTCATCTAAAAAGCAAAAGAGAAATCATTGTAAATGATTCGTGAGATCATCTTTGTGCGGCTGGGTAATCGCTCGCGATCTGGCAAACGGCCCTGGTAGAAAGTGGTAGGAATCCGTAAGCCGTGCGTCGTAATCGTCTAATTTTAATTCCTACTTCGAAATCGTCTAGCTTAAACCCATACTTCGAAATCATCTAATTTAAATTCCAGTTTCGGAATCGTCTAATTCAAATCCGTGCGTTATTATGCTCAAATTCTTGGCTTTAGTGAGAATCGGTCCTAATTCCGACCTAAAGTTGGAGGATCGGTGTGCGATTAAACCAGTTCTCCATTTTCGCATCATTATGCCCACGCCACCGCGGTATGGCGCCGAATGGTGCAGCGGATAGTCGCCCCGCGACCCTGGTCCCTGGTTCGAATCCCCTCACCGCCAAAACCCCTTCGCTTCAAGGGAAACTTTGTCTTTAAATTTTCCCACAAATTTCAGATCTTGTTAAATCGATGATTTCGATCCCAATTCGAACTCCGCCTTTAAAGTTTTCTAAATTCTTGACCTTGTCCTCGAATCCACTCTGTAGCACCGAGTTCCTCGCCAACTCGCACATGTCACAAGAGGAGAGCTTCCATACCTAAAACTTGCCGGTTTTTGAGGGAAAATATCTCTAAATTTGCTATATTATTTGCTATTTGCTATTACTATTTGCTTAATCTGTTTCTAATACAAGTTTTAGAATCTCATTCTTCTACCTGTGCCGCAATCGAATACTCTTCCATGAGCGCTTCTTTTGTGTAGTGGAATTGAAGGGGATCGTCAGTGGAAAGGGAAACATTTAAACCCTGAAAATGAATAAAATCAGAACTTCATCAACTTCATCAACTTCTTAGCTTCGCGTATTTCAAGTGACTCACTTTCTGCATAAACTCGTGCATCGGATTTTTCTGATAGCTAACGAAAAGCGAGTTGTTCGAGAGCGGCGACATGGCGATGCCCATTTGAGTCAAATAGTATAGGTATTGGAGAACGGGCACCTTGAAATTTGCTGTAAAATTAGATTCTTAAGAAAGTTCACCTTTTTCAGCATTAATCCATGTGAGATACTCTCTGAGGTTAAAAATCCAGTGACCAAATGATTGACATGACCAGCTTCTCCACAATGGGGACGCAAAACAAATGTGTTTAAGCCACGAGATCTGGAAATCGGTTGAAAAGTAAAATTTGGATGGATTTGATTTGATTTTATTTGATTTTATTTGATTTTGATAATAAGAATTACTAAATCAACTAGAACTAGAATTACTAAAGAGTTGAGTCCTAAATTTGATAAATAAGAAAGGATTAGCTTTGAAACACTCACAAGCAATACCAGCAAAGCTTAACTGTCATTGAGATCTCAAACAAACCTTCTGAACGCATTTAGCAACGAGATATTCGCATACATGTAGTAAAGATAGTAATTGTAAGGAGGATTCTCCTTGTCGGTGTACTTTTCAGGGACCGGAGTTGAACGATCGAACTAAAATTGAATGAAATAATAGATCTCAGTCAAAGGCAACATTCAAAATGTGCACTAGTTAGACGGACAGCAAATGGCCGAGTGGCTAAGAGCCCTTGATCTTAGCCAGAAGGTCAAGGGTTCAATCCCACCGGCTAGATTATTACTTTTTCCCACATACCGTATTTTCTCTAATAGTAGTGCACCCTAAGCCTTGCCTAAATTCCTCGAAATCTCGAGAACCGCTTATCAGAACCTATCGATGTGGGGTCGGAAAATGTAGCTGACGATGAGATCTAGTGGGGGATTTGAGTGTTGAGCTTCTCCGAAAGCTTGGGAACTGTAAAATAGTCATTAACTCGGGTTGGCGGTGTGCACTATTATTAGAGAGAAAACGGCATTTGCTGCTTATTATTAAACAAGTTGACGACGACGGCTTTTATTTTCTTTCATCTCCAACATCTCCTTTGTAAATTTCTCTTTTAGATTACTGTATCATGAATTAGAATCTTGATACTCCATATTCTGGAGTGCATTTCTTGCAATGAACCTCGTAGAAGAAGTTGAAAGCTTTGAAATAATATCAAGAGCTGTATCAGGCCGTAATCTTGAAGTAATTGGTTAATCTAGCTTTAAGTCATTCGTTGACCTTTAAGTAATTAAGAATTGGTTAATCTAGCTTTAAGCCATGAGCTAACTTCTAAGGAATTCAGTAATTAGTTACGGTATTCTCTCTAATAGTAGTGCACCCTAAGCCTTGCCTAAATTCCTCGAAATCTCGAGAACCGTTTATCAGAACCTATCGATGTGGGGTCGGAAAATGTAGCTGACGATGAGATCTAGTGGGGGATTTGAGTGTTGAGCTTCTGCGAAAGCTTGGGAACTGTAAAATGATCGTCAACCCGGCTAGGCGCGTCAACTACTATTAGAGAAAATACGGTACATAGGTTTTTTTTTCTTCCCTACATTTAGGGCTTCTCTAAGTTGAGTGCTAGTGGTTGTTGTTGTCATTGTTCTTGTGTATTTTTTGTACCACATTATTCGTGTGAATAAATGTATTAAGATAAGAATAAAATTAAGATTTAAAAGCCACCTGCACAAATTCGTGTTTACTTTCGTCATCAACTGAATCGATGCCGGAGACAGTTAGAAGGAAACGATGAAGATCGGGATGAGATGACGGATCGTTTGAGACCTGGAAATATCTATAAGCTATGAAATTTGGATGAAGTTACAAGAAAACTGACTTCGGATTTTGCTATAGTTTCAGATTCACTTTTTTACTTATTGTTAATTCAATTCAAATACTTCTTAGCTTTTATGAAGCTGTCAAGAAAGACTTTTCGCTCCTTTTCGTACTTCTTTTTGAAAAATAACAAATTCACCGATTAACCCATGGTTTTCTCTAAATAAAAAGTGTTTATTGTTGAATTTCTCATCTTTTGAAGTCAATTTTGATTCAATTTCGGTTCAATTTCAATCTTTTCAAGTCAATTTCGGTTCAATTTCCTTCTTTTTAAGTCAATTTCAGTTCATTTTCCTTCTTTTTAATTCAATTTCGGTTCAATTTCCTTCTTTTTAATTCAATTTCGGTTCAATTTCCTTCTTTTTAACTCAATTTCGGCTCACTTTCGAGCAAATTTGAGAGTGAAAACACGTGTTTTTCGTAAAAATCTATAAAAACCTCTACGAAGAAATTGGCTGAAGCGATTTCTCTGAAATTTTCCCTAGATACCGAACTTTTTAAGCTCTATTTTTTATCTATTGACACTAAAATAGGTTTCTTTGGGCTAAAGTGTCTAAACCGCTTCATCGATCCGTCTATTTGACTACCCGACTTCATGCTGCCAAAAAAAACCCTGACATAAAACATTTAAAACCCGTTTTAATGTTATTTTGCAGAAAAATAAGTGCCCTTTTTAATGAAACAGGAGCTGAATTGGTGCATTTGTTGGTTTTAAACAAAAGTACGAAACGAAACGAAAAGCTTTTCTGGACAGCTTAATCGTTTTTACTTTTTCACTCACCTCAAATAACGGCAAGAAGAGATTGTCCAAGAGTTCTCCAAAGTTTTTCATGTTTTTCGTCCGGTAGATGTCACTAAAATTGTCGACAATTGATTTGTTTTTAAAAACAAAATGAAAAGCATTACATTTACGGTATATCTACAACTTTAAAAGACTTTCAAAC